AAAACAAAAAACAAAAAAAAAACAAAAATCAAACAAATGAACAAAACTGGTTGGTAATCAGCCATCATCTTGTAGCTTCTCCCAGCTTGGATTCTAATTAATGCAGTATTTCCCATGATCAGATTTGGAGAGTCCACATTCTCCTTGACCTGAATTCTGGACCCAATTTAGCATCGTTTATGAAATTCACTAAGTCAGGGCTTAAGAGCAGGCCACCAACTCTTTGGCGCTCTCATGAATATGTGCTCTCCCAAAGCTCCAGAGCTGTTTCTCAGGAACATCACTTGGTATTTTACAACGGGCGGTTCACTGATTAGCGAGGCTGTCCAGCAAGCTCAAGGCATCTTTTTGTCTTCATTTCCTCAGCACTGAGATTGCAAGCACAGTGGCATCTGGCTTTTTCACCTGGGTCCTGGGGATTGAACTCAGGTCCTCATGCTTTGCATGGTCAGCCCTTAACTTAGTGAGCACGCCTCTAGTCCAGCCCCAGCTAGAAATCACTGCAGGGCTTTCTGAGATAAGGAACTCAGGTCCAGGGTAGGAAAGTCACGGCAGAGTGTGTGGGATGTGGTTGATTCCCATCCCCACTCACCGGTGGCCTTCAGATACCTCCCCTCAGGGGCATTCGTATTTCATTTATAGAGGACACAAGCTCCAGGGTTTCACAGGCTTCCAGAGTTGGCCAGCTGGGTGCTGGGAAGTCTCTAGGTAGGAAGGGCAGGCAGACAGAGGGCCCCACATCCCCTGTGTGTCCTATCATGGGCCTATGGCCTCTGCGGGGACCCTCTTCACAGCTGCATGTGACAGAACACTGTGAAGGGAATTCCTCTGCCTGGACTCCCAGACATAAATGCAAAGTTCACAGGTCTTGACTCGTTCCCACAGAGGAACATGTGTTCTTGGGAAAAGACCACACAGACGAGTCAGGATCTCTCTGTTGTTTCCAGAATCTGGCCTGTGCTGGCCCTTCAGCCTGAGTCGCATTAGGTAACCGAGGCCACATCCGCCTGGAAGGAATTTAGAGATTGTTTCTGCTGGCGCTTCAGGACCACTGAACAACAGACTAGTCAACAGCAGACTCCCGAGTTTCCCTCCCACAGGCTCTGATTTGGTGGGTCTGGAGCAGCATTGGATTCTGGCTTTTCCAGCAAGCTTCCAAGGCATGCTGATTCACGGACCACACTTGAGTAGCATCGGCCAAACACTTCCTTGTCTTAAGAGGGACTGGCAGGCTTCGTCCTAAAGGCCACAGAGTAAATATTTCGGGGTCTACAGGCCAGTCAATCACCGTTGCAAACAACACAATCCGGCCATTATAGTGTGAAAGTAGCCATGAACACTGTGTGTAAACACAGATACAGCTGTCTCCTGACAAATCCACACAAAACCAGGAGGCAGCCTCAGCTACAGCTGGCTCATCCCTGTCTCTAGGACTTCCTACATGCTTAGTTAGGATGGTTTGAGCCATACTTTCCTCCCATTTATAGTTGCAAAAACACGGAGTTAAAAACAGGGCCATTAAACCAGTAGTGGCACACGTTTAGTCCCAGCACTTGGGAGGCAGAGGCAGGTGGATCTTTTCGAGTTCCAGATCTGCCTCAAACTACAGAGTTACAGGATACTGAGAACCTGTCTTGATAAATGAAACAACCAAACAGGGGTGCTGTTTGTAGTGCTGTTTCCCCTCAGGCATGATGACATCGATGAGATCACATCAGTGGCCACTCAAAAAAACAACACAAAGATCACCCTGTACTAGGTGTCTTGTATTTAAAACACTTCAAATTTTTACATCGGGTCTCTACGTGTGTCTGCGCGTGGGCATGTGTACATGAGTGTGCAGTGCCAGCAGAGGCCAGCGGAGGGCATCAGATCCCCTGGAGCTGGAGTTTCAGTTTGGCGTGGCCCTCTGTAAGAACAAATCCACATTCTCAGGCAATTCTGTTTAGACTGAACTTGGCCTTACATATTTCCTGAGCTCAGGCACAGAAAGGTAAGAAAAGGGAGCGCTCACTTAACAGGATCACTTAAGGCGCTTTCTCAGTGTCCACAAGATAAACACAAATGGCTTCCACAAGGCTAGCAAGATGAAACAAACAGTTGTCTAGGGACGTCTTGCGTGAACACATTTAAGAAACATTCTAGAAGCAAGCACATAGACCAACGAGTTATATTATCTTTATTCATGTTAGAATTTCTATCAGTGTTTGAACATTAATATTTAGAGAGTTTTTGTACATTTTCATCTGAGAACTGCACCAGGCCACAATGCTCACACCAACAACTTCCCAATCTCGTGGATACATAGCTGCTCTCTTGTACTCTCTTAACACTGTTAAACGTTTCCTCTTCCTCGCTGTCATTTACAAAGGAAGGGTGTCCTCACACGCACCTCTCAGCAAAGTTCCAGACATTATGGATTTCACCACATATAAATTCTTTAAAAATATACTTCTGTCAAAAGACTTGATGACTACTATGTACACTACAAAAATAAATTTTCATATAAATAAATTATATGGCATACTTTCATCTTTGTAATTGAAATGACACAAACTCGTTTCCACCCAGTTTGGCAGACGAGACCCAGTTTGAATATTTATCTCCTTTAAACTCCTTACGCTAAAACCTACCATGAGTCCTTAGTGTAAATGTTATATACTCTGAACTATTTAACATTAGTAAGCACTCTATACAAATAAAACTTCTGTTCAAAAGTAAAACATAACTGCAATAGTGTTTCCAATAGAAATAAAATCCCTGCAAATTTTTTTTTTTTTTTTTTTTTTTTTGTTATATAAACTGGCATGACAAATTCTGGAGGACATTCTTATGATACAAAATTATAAATATCAGCAAAGATCTTTTCTTTTAAAAATTAAGACATCCAAATGAACAAACAATACAGACACAATAAAACTATGAGGAGACAGACAGACAGACAATACACACACTCCGAGACTGTAGTCTCCTGTCAGCTCTGTGTCCTTCCTGCCTTGGCTGATGTAACTCTTGTTGCACAGAAACCAAACTGCTGTGCGAACTTCCTCGTGCCGTGAGTGAGGCTCAGGAGTGATTGACCACCACCAAGAATCGCAGGGATTTTACATCTCCCTTCTCAACTCAGGGTACAAGCTCTCTGAGCAGAGCTGGTTCTGGGTAGGCAGACAGTGGCTTGACAGGCTTTGAGACAGTAGAAGTGGGTGGCCAGGGCCTCTGCCATATTTACAAACACACACACACACACACACACACACACACACACACACACGGTAGCCTCTGGTGGCTTTCAATTAGTACCTTACAGTTTGGGGATGAGTTTAAAGGTCTGAGGTCACTAGATTGCTGGTCCTAGCAGGGGCCCACTGCCTTACAGACTTCCATGCAGGTTAGGAGGGACTGAATGAAGCTGCTCGCAGAGTGCACTGCTCAGTAGCTTCCTTCCTCTGACACAAGTCTTCAGTGCTCACTCACAAGGGAAGACACTGCTTCCCCATCTACCTCAGGGATCAAGAAAACAGGATCAAATCTTAAAATCTAACACCTGGTTCGAAGAGCTTCCTCTACACACTTCTACTGGGTGGCACCTTACTGCTCGCCCATGGACACCATGCTGGATGCGTTCTAACAGTGGAGAAGGGAAGGGGTATGCACAGGACTAGCACACATGGAGAAGAGCCTCATATCTCACACAGCTGAAGCTGCACAGCCATCAGTGTGCGCCAACTAGGCAATCAACTTGCCGTAAGGGATTTGGATTTGTAAGGGCATGAATGCAGACCTTGAATGAAGTAGATTTCTCTGCCTGTATCTGGGTTACAGGGGTAGGAGAAAGGTACAATACTGTACTTCCTTTATGCCATCTCATGATCCATCTGAGGTTCACCACCAATGAAGACTGTTGGGTCCAGAGAGACCCTAACACCCAACATTATGATCTATGAGAATGTATTCTCTTTGAAGGGGAGGTCCGTGGGTGGGGGGGGGGGTTTACCCATGACCTCAGGAGCTGCTGCAGGCATGAAGCCAAGCTTGGCTTCTCTGGACTATTTCCAGAGAATAAGACACATGACAGGTCCACCCTGCCACCAGCGCCAAGACAGAAAGAGACGTTGACTTTCCCAGCTTGACTAGGCCGGAGCTAGGGGTCACACGAAGCAGAGAAACAAGGAAAAGAACAAAACAGAACACAACGAAGTCACAGTGCAGTACACTGGCAAATCTCACACACTCACACATACACCCATGAGAACTGCATAAAACCTACCCCTGGAGAAGCCACCGGGATTATCCTGTTTTCTTCACGCCTGCTCGTTAAACAATTACCACGCATAGCGTGCTCGAACGTTAACAGTAACATTTCATCCTACCACAGGGTTGTGATATGCAAATTTAAAATATTTTAGACAGAAATCTTTACAAATAATCCTATTACATAAGCAATATTTGCATAGAATTATACAGGTAAATTATACAATATTTAAGCAGCAGCGACATATGCTGGGGGCGGGGGAAGGGATTTTAAAAACTAAGTTAAGCTTGGTTGCGGCACAAGGACCAATGTACACGTGGGAAGGAAACCCCAGTGGTCTCCCCACTCTGGGGCAGGAGTGGAGAGGCCCCAGGCCATAGACTTTACATCATTTCCATGTATATTACATGTGTACACCCTCTTAAATATTTATAGAAATATTTCACAAAATAATACAATCAATTACAGTAACAATGAACCGCTTTCCCATAATTCCAAAGCAGTTCTCTTCAAGCAGTCAGTTCTGGAAAGAGGTGGGAGGGTGGGTGGGTGGGTAGGGGCGGGGCTTTTCCAATCTTTGGCCTCTTTGCTTCAGATTTTAATTACCCTTTAAAACAAAAAAAAAAAAAACAAACAAACAAAAAAAAAAAAAAAAAAAAAAAAAGAAGTCACATCATGGTCACGACTAGAGCTGTGCCTTTCTCACGCAACACAGCCCCTAACTCTGCATGGACATGGAGACACAGCAACTCTACAATGGGCTGACTAAATTCATCTCATCTATCATCTTCACCTTGCAAGGTCATTTGTTTGCATGCTTGTTAGAACTCTGCTGCAAGGGGCAGCAAACCGCTACAAGGTAAAACCGTTAAATCAAAGAGGTTACTAGTGAAAAGAAAAGAAAATCCAGTTTGGAAAGGTATTGGTTTGGCCACATCAGCCTTGTCTTGGGGAGGAAAGGTCCCCCGGGGTCCAGTCTGGGCTGTGCCAGTGCTCAGGTAACCCCGGAAAGCACCCCTGGAGCACACACCTCAGTCGGAGCTGCTCCCTCACGGCCTCTCCTCACACTCCACGTCCTGTAGCTCTATGACCTCCACCTTCGAGTCCCTCCTCTCGCACCTGACATGAAAAGGCACATGGGGATCCTCGAACACCCCGTGGTCAGTCTCTGGGTAGCTCTCATAGCCCGGACAGGGTCCCCCTCGGGGGTTGCGCCCAGGTCCAGGTGGGGGATGTACAGCAACAGTCACAGAAGCGGAAGCCGTCACAGTAGTGATGGGCTGGCCATAGCTGGGCACAGAGCTGCCCATGGCAGTGGACGTTGGGTTCCGAGGGTTGTGGGAACGGGCCCCACGGGGTCCTGAGCGGTCCCTATTGCTAGGGCCAGAATGCCCTTCAGTAGAAATTTCAAAAGCGTCTCTTCGCGGCCTGTACGGGGGTGGCCGCAAGCCTTCTCTGGGGGGATCCCTTCGAGGCTGCTGGCCTTGTCGTCCAGGAGACAGGGAGCCAGGGTCCAGGTGAGGCTGCTGCCGAGGGTTCAAGGGAGGGTGATGTCTCGATTCAGGATGGACCACCTGCAGAGGTGACACAGGTTAGCACAGGGAGGTAAGGTGGTGCGATACATATACAGTGGCTTTCAGAGACGGACGTCCCCGCTTTCTGGGTCATATAGCTTTGTTCCACCTGCCCCAACCCTAAGCCAGGTGTGGCCAGTAGCTAATGTACTGAAGAGCAGAGCAAAAACTTCTACCAACGCAGACACTTGTGTCAGACACATCCGTCTCTGCCTGACCATTAGGAATCTGGTTTCTGGGTCTCTGTGCAAAGCTCGAGTAACATAGTGGCCACATCAATCAAAAGGACCGTGACCAACTTCAAAGTCCTTGAGCTTGTACCTATTTTTAGGCTCCTGCTGAACAAAACCAGATTCACACTGCAGCTCAGCAGGGTGTCATCATGGGGGGGGGTGTAGGGGTACAAGGACAACACAATTCACTGGCTAGCCACTCTCTCCTTCATGCAAGGCTGCCTTAGCCCAGGACTCAAATGCACACTTCCTGTAAGGATGGTGAGGGCCTCAGGCAAGCAATGGGAACTTTGGAGCCATCCTTGGCTCTTTAAGGCTGGGCATCTTGACAGAGGGCCACTGCCGGTAAGGAATAGAGCCTGTTGATTCCTTGCTGCCTTCTGGAATTGCTAACAACTCGGGATACTTCTGAGCTTCAACAAACCTCCAGCCATCTGCAACACTAAGAGCTCGAAGCCACAGAGCTATGGGAAAACTTTAGATAGTAATTAAAATAATTTTGTCCCAAGGCCAAATGAGAAGGGAAAAAAAACGCTTCTTGTGGCAGTACAATACACTGTTTTTGTTACATTTTCTCACGTACCATTCTGAAAGGAGGTACAGGCTTGTAGCTGAGTCTGCTCTGAATAAGGGCAGGACTAGATGAGCCCCTAGGCTTTAAATATTCTAGGCAAACTGTGTTTCCCTGTTCGAATTGCTCTGTCAATCCACAAGATTAAAAAAGGAAGCAGGTCATAGTTTACAAAGAATGACTCCCTGGCAGTTTCCTGTGATTTGACCTGATGTATACACTTTTTTTTTTTTTTTCTTGCACCCATCTGTCTACGAGATCTGAGCAGCAGACCTCCCTGGACCTCCCCTAGACCTCCTGGTCCACTGCCAGAGGAGAAATGAATCTTTCCCTGTGCCCTTGGGTGACTCACAGTGGACCGGGCAAAGACGGGGTTTTCTGTGGCTTCCACGATCACTTGGTGGCCAGGACCTCCTCCGGATCCCTGCTGTGCCTCGTAGTGCCTGAGTTCCTCACTGATGCCAGACACTGTGGTCTGAGAGCTGTACTCTGAGTCAGAGGAGTCAGACCCATTGTTCATGTGGCCAGGAGGCACTGCGAACCGGACAACGCTTGGGGGCGGCTCAGGCGAAGGAGTGGGCAGCCGGTTCAGGCCATTGGCTGGAGACACCTATTTAAGGACATCCCGATTAAAAGTGTTACATTCTTTTATCTGTTGGCCCATCTTAAAGTCCAAAGCCCAATGTTATTCATCAGCCCGTCACCTGGCAAAAGAACCCCACACATCATACTGTACCTACTCCCCTCTCCATGCTACCTGGGCAGACACTCAAGATACTGGCCCAAAAAACAGTGCCCATGTCTTCCAACACTAGAAAGGCAGGTTAGGTGTCTTTTACACCTGCTAAGCCCAAACACTTATCTGAGGTAGAAAAGGCTTCCTTTACATATCCCCAAAACTAAAGTTGCCCATCAGCTGGCCTGAAACAGCTCTACAGCCCCCATCCTGAATTATCAAATGGAAAAGTAAAACAGCCATTGTTGCTGGATGTTTATTGAAGAGATCACACCATCAGCAGATACAGTAGCACCTAAATATCTCAATCAGGAGTGACACTGGGGAAAGCAGGTGGCCTGGGGTGGGGGTGAATGTCTCACCCTGGCAATCACTGACCTCAGGACATGGCCCAAAGAAGGACAAGAGGACAGGCAGCAAAACCAGTCCGTTGAGAACTCCCAAGATGGTGAGGATCGCCAGGACAGCAAAGAAGTATCTGGAAGACAAAAGGGACATGGCACCCGTCAGGCTGCAAAGAAAGCATTCCACACACCCAAATTTACTCTGCACCAAGAGATCATCAGCTCAACAACCCCACTCCTCTGAAGAGGCAGCCACCGAAGGAACCACAGTTCAAACTTTTAACACAGGATTAGCGTGGGGTTTTGTTCTTTTTTTAACCTTATGACTCCAAGAACTACATTCCACACACTGGAGTGTTAGTTCATGGGGGGGGGGGGGAGTTAAAATCAGTTTGTTAATTTGCTGAAATCTCATGCCTGTAATGTTATTTATGAACGTGTTACACCAACACAGAAATATGGAATAGGAAATGAATGGCTGAGCAACCTGAAAGCACAGACACAATGCCTAGGGGCCCCGCTCGTGAAAACCCAGCAGAAGCAAACAAATGAAGCGAAGGGTGTAGAATTTAAACAATTTGGCCCAGGAGGAAAAGCAGCCTGCTTCTGCAGGCTGCTAATCCACTGTGAAATGCTCCTGCCTCTTAGGGCAGAATCTCTAATTAAGGCTCCAGCGCATCAGGTAAGGGTTTCCCTGGGCTTTCATTAATCACAACTTTCTGCCTGGAATTCTCTGGGTTCCAGTTTTACCAAATGGCTCCAGTTGCAACCTTTTTAGAACGCAGGAACCAGCCCTGCAAAGAAAGCGCTGCCCATTCTGTGGGAGCTGGGGCATTGTGTGGGGCGAGGGCGCTCCACAATGGCAGGCTGCTCCGCAGGCCAATCTTTTGTTGAACAATTTAGCATCTTTGAATACTCTTGTTTTGCATCAGCCAATTCAAACATAAAGGCTGAAGCACCATGGCAGAAGACGGAGAGTGAACAGCGAGTTCTGCGTTCCCACCATTGAGGGCTAAAGGTCTGGGATCCTTCAAGAATACCAAGGTAAACCTGTCAGCCAAGGCCCGCCTTTGGTCGGCACTCTGCACAGCTGGAGGGTGCACACTCCACGCAAGGATGCTTTCCTGGAACTAATGATTTCTAGGGCTTTGATGGAACTGGGCTGGGGCTGGGGTTGGGGGTGGGGTTGGGATGTTCTGGAAAGAAAGAGGGAGGGCTAGATATCTATCTATTAATGGTCCCCTGGATCATAAAACTGAACAGCCATCCTACGATGCCGTGTCTACGTATGTTTTGACATCAGATGAAAGGAGAGAGAATCCCTATAAAAATACAAATACCTCACAGCTATTGTAAACACTAAAACCCACTGAGCTGCATTAGTAAAAGCCAAGCCGCCAATGTCTTCCTCTAACATAAACTGTGGAACTTTCGGTGGAGGCATATATCAGCGGCAGGCATTAAGACAATTTGCATCCCATCCATCTAGCTGCAACATAAACAGACCAATTAGACTTCTGACGGCTTCATGTATACAGTGTCTGCTCATTTATTCAACTCTGGTGAGGACTTTATCCATCCTATTTTAGAAAATGGGAAGCCCTTCTAAGTGCTTGAAACAGGAACCCCGATATCTCTGGGAACAAATGAGCAGCCCCAGCTAGGACGGGGTGAGGGAATGGGTTCTGCTCTGTAGTATCTTTTGCAAGGCTCTGCACTGGCTCCTCAGCTAACCTGCAAGGTCCCAGCACACCCTGCATTTATCTCTCTTGGCTCTGAACTGCCTGGGGAGACTGGATATTTCCCAATCCTGGCAGACTTCAAGCCACATGGCAGAGTAGGTTATGTGTTATTTGCCGGTAGTCACAGAAATGGCACTCGTGAGGCTGGCATTACCTTTGTGTTGGAAGAGCCCAGAGACCATGCCAAAGCAATCCCACTTGGCATTGAGCATTATGCAGAAAGACGAAAGCTAGTATCTGTGTAGGAGTGTGCAGAGGAAATAAGTGCCAAATACCCAAACCAGCATCTAAGTTAAGCCATCTATCTCACCAGTTATTGGTAAAGGAGAATCTACTGATCAGTGTACTAACTTATCAATAGGCTGTGTGAAGGCTAGCACGCTTGTCTCTCCTGACAGCTGTCTGGAAAGGTCTCTGTCAATCTGTACTAGCCCGGATGATCAGTAAGCTTATTATACAGAGTGCTGGTCTACAGTAAAATGAGTCAACCTCTGCTTACTCTACCCACAAACAATGCGTCAACCATACCCTCATTCCAGAAGGCCCTGAGAGCTTGGCTGCCCAACGGGCTATGCTTCAAGACTGATCCTTTCTCTTTCCTCCTCTGGTAGTGGGGAATCAACCCCCTTTCCCCATGCACCTTAGGCACGTACTCACTGTACCACCGAGCTACACCCACAACGTAACTAACTTTTGTGTTAAGCTTCAGCTAAAACTCCTCCTTCTATCTGAAAAGGTAAGCTTCCCTACTTGGCCAGCCTTTGTGTGCACACATGTAACGCTTGATTGGAGCCAGATGTGGTAACACCTGCCTATAATTCTAGCACTTGGGAGGCTGAGGCAGGAGAATCAGCAGTTAAAAGCCACTCTGCAACATCACAAGAGCTAGGCAAGCCTGGGCTACACAAGACCTGTTTCATAAACAAACCATCACCCAAACACCCAGCCCCTTAAAAAAGCATTTTCTTATGTTCTTCACATTTTCCTACGTTAAACGCACAGTAGTAGTGTTTTCCCTAAAGAGGGGTCCAGGGAGCAGCCAGACTACACAGGAGTTCTAGCCCAGACAGCTGAGCTCAGAGCAGTCCTGCTTCAAAGAGTACCAATAAAAGAGTAACCAAACAATGCTCCCAAGGACAGCCGGAATGGGTCATCTCTCCAGACGTGGAGCACCATAAACTCACTGGGTTCCGCCTTATTCTAAAGACGCACCAACATCTTACATATGGAGGACATCGGTTTTGCCTCTTTGCAATAGATGATGGTTTTACACCCAGGAGAAGACACCTAGTGAAGTCACTATTCCACCGAAAGAGCATCCTTTCTCTCTTGTTCCAACCTCTAATTCTTCAACTTGAAAACTCACTGGCTTTTACGCTTTTCAAAGTCACCCACCGGCTTATCCACGTCATGTAGCAAAATCCTGCCCTGTGATCCAGAGAGGAGTACATGTGCCAGGCTTTCAGTCCCTGAATGTGACCCTGAAGTCGGATGTTCAGCATTGATGAGGTCTCAGAAGGGCCCCAAACACAAAATCTGGTACAGTGTACTCATTTCCTGTGTAAAGTTTAGAGCTAGGTGCCCATACTGGAGGTATGCTAAGTTTTCTTTCTATAGTTTATTATAAGGCTGGTTCTCATGCATCCCTGGCTGTCCTCAAACTCAGCACATGGCCAAGGACTGGACTGCAGAGGTGAGGATGGAGTGTGGGAGACAAAACCCAAGGCTTCATGCGTGCCTAGCCCCGCACTGAGCTACATCTCCAGGCCCTCCCACACCAAAGCTGGACACTGCAAATCACAGGCCACAATCATCTCTCTGTAGGTGTTTGAAACTGGAATCTCGACACTCGGGATTGCCAGGTGACCGACTCTAGCCTCAAGCAATGGAATTGCTCCTACCCTAGCCTTTTCCCTTATGTCTTCCAAGACACTTCCAGACAGGGAAGCTTCTAAGAGAGCTGGCCTGTATGCCTCAGGCAGGTTGAGATGCTGCCTCCTGCCAGATACAGGAGTGACCCATGAATACTACCTGAGCGAGCAATGTTCCACTTCCGCTTACCTGACAATGAAATCAAATTCGGACCCTGCAAGCATCAGTACACCCAGCAGAGTGGACACAGCACCATCCAGAACAGGAGCGAACATGTGCTCCAGGGCAAGCATAGCCCTGTGGTTCTTGTCACCAATGGCTGTCAGAAAGGCCTGAGCAAAGGAAGAATCGAGATGGTCACATTCCTGGGCTGTTCGTGCTCAAGTGCTCAGCTCCTGTCTATATACTCGGCTTTTGTTGATTTTTCCCATGTGTCTTACTCAGGCTGGCCTCACACTGACTGTTGTTCAAGAACAACCTTGAATTTAGTCCTCCTGGCTCCACTTCTAGAGTGCTCAGGTTCACAGCCGTGTGCTACTATGCCTGGTTTTATGTGGTGCTGGGGATAGAGCCCAGAGACTCCCCCAGGCCAAGGCAAGCACATTACCACCTTGGCGAGAGCTGTCCGTACACCCTACAAGTAATTCTTAAGCTCATGTTGGTGGGTGGAGTCACCTCAAAGAGACCACTCTGTTATTAAGGAAATGAAAATCATCTAAAATGTAGCAGTAAAGCCAAATATTTTGGTCATAATAAAGCATTGTCTACTTGATCTTCTGAAAAAAAGTATCATGTTTATGTTTATGGGTGTTCTGTCTTGTATGTATGCATGTATGTATGTGCATCATGTGCTTGCCTGGTGCCTAAGAGGACAGAAAAGAGCACATGAGATCCACTGGAGCTGAGTTACAGGCAGGTGTGAGGTTTATGCTAGCTAGGCAAGCCTTTTACCAACTGAGCTAAAGTCTTAGCCTCAAGTCTACATGAAATACTGGATGTGCTTCTATCTTTCGCTCCAAAACATATGCTCAAGATTTTATTGCTCAGCTCCTAGAATGTTTACCTGATTTCACTATAATACCCTGTTCATATTATTGGGCCATAGTTACTGATGGGCCAGGTTTATAATCCTGACAGGCAGATCCCTGGACTCTTGCTGATAGGCCAGCCTAGCCTACTCAGTGAGCTCTAGGCCAGTGAGAGACTATGTTCCCCCAAATAAGGTGAATGATGCTTCAGCAACAGTATTTGTCATAGCCCTCCCAGCCTCTATAAGCATGCACACACACACACACACACACACACACACACTCACACTCACATACAATTCTAAGATACTGTTCCTAAATCATCTTACTAACAGCTTCAAAACTTCAGCTTCTTTCTGAACACCCAAGTCCACAATCTGTGAGTGTAGGAACAGCTCTGAGAGGCTACAGAAGGCGCACACCACGTGCTAAGCTCCAAGAAGAATGCCGGTAACGTCACTTGATTCCGGCCAAGAGCTGAATTTCCCAGCTTGAGCATTCCAAACACCAGTATTTACTCAGTGAATATGTGTTTACTGAATGCCAGGTATTCCGGATGTGAGCGCATCTGTAGGCAATAGTAAACTGCACATTCCCGAAGGCTTTGGACTAATTTTCTCATCAATGTGTACAGCTGGCTCATCTTCTGAATTCTAGGCCCTCTTTCAGGGTTAATTTCTTCCAACACAAGTCAGTGTGTAAAGACAAGAGGGCCGAGGTTCTGGTGAAGCGTCCCTGGTTCCCTTGTTTTTCTGCTGACGTGGATGCATGCAGAAGCTGGGAGGTCTACAGAGCTGGGTGGGCTGGGGTGGCAGAGCAGGCTCTTCAGGGCTGTGCACCCGAGCTTTCATTCACAGGCCCGAGGGCATTTCTGTGGCTGCCAGCTCACCTCACCCTCAATTACGCTACCCCCACCAAGCCTCTGAGGGTGGTCTTGTTTTATCTCCACTTTATGACTGTACTTAAAACTGTGTGTGGATATTTGCCTAAACACACAGAACGTCTTGGGACAATGATGACAACTTTCAAGACAGAGTGCTACCAGTCAAAACACGGAAAATGTGCCCAGCCCTGACAGTCCTGACTCGCTGAGGTGGTGTGAAGACATTTTTACTCCCCACGTCTCTTATCTAAGAGACCTCCCCAAGAGATTAAGGACCCCTAAAACATTTCAGACTTCCTTGGGAAAACTGTGCTTGAAGACAACTCAGGTTCCTTTGCCCTGTCAGCCAATTTCCCCTCAGCATCTATCTCCCTTACCAAAGCCACATGGACGGTGAACTCCACTCCGATGCCCACAGATGCAATCAGGATGACCACAGGCACGGCACTCAGCTTGATTCCAATGAGGCCCATCATGCCGAAGAGCTCAACTGTCATCAAAGCCAGGACCATGACCTTGAAGAAGGCACACGACAATTAGTAAGTTGTTGTGGTCTTTGTTAGAGGCAGGGAGCGTCAATGTACATTCATCACCTAAACACTATGAAAAGGTACTTGACTTCCTTTACCTCTGGAATACTTCGTATCGTACATTTTGACCTCCTGCTGGGTGGGAGATGTTAGGACAACCTACTGTCAGGCTAAAAAAGGTGTTTGTAAAGGCAAAGTTTAGGGGTGTGTGTGTGTGTGTGTGTGTGTGTGTACATGTGGAAGCTAGAAGTAAAGCATGGTGTGGTTCCTAGAGCCTCCGCTGAGACAGATCCTCTCAATGAGGCCTGAAGCTCACTGATCAGGCCTGGCCTCCTCCTGTTTCTGCCTCCCGAGCCACATACCACCACACCCAACTTGTGCCGTGCGGCAAGTACTTTAATCCCCTAGCTATCTTCCTATCCGCCAGTCTAGTACTCCTGACAAATTATTTTTCTAGTATTCCCATCCTAGAAAGGGAAAAATGAAGGGGCCACATCCTGGAGCTACCTATGAAGATGCACACTATCAGCATCTGGCCTTTCCTCATGGCTGTATCATCAGCATCACCGTTACTGGAGATAATTCAGAGTGATACAGTACGGGGTGGGGGGGGGTGCGCAAAGGCTATACGAAAATACAGTACTGCTTTAATGCACCCAACTTGAGCCTCAGGGGATCTGGCACACAGGGGTCCCAGAACCAACAACTAAGACTTTGGAGTTTCTTGGGCCAAGGAGGAGAGAACCGGTTCACAACTGGTTTGCTCCCCCCACATCTAGCACATGAAGGAGTGAAAGAAAAATGATCCTTCCTGCTTGGGGATAGGGCGGTGGGTGGGTGGCAGCATAGGTTGGGAGAGAAACAGTGAAAGATGGACGCCATCCATGGCTTAAGTGCTGTGAAGGCTTCTTCAGACTAAACATTTACCTTTAATGTACCTGCTACCCAGACTCAGCACAGAAACAAAACCTGTTTTTGTAATTCTGGCGTTTTAAAGGCCATACCACAGTTCATGGAACTTAAGCAATGCCAGGATTTCAGGCTACAGGAGGCTCTCTTCAAATCTGAGGGTAATCTGGGGAAAAGACGCTATGCTCCAAACTGGTTATGAGAGGCGGTTTGGTTACAGCATACACTATGCACGAAGACTTCACGTGTCATCCCCACCCCCTGCATGTGTCTTAATTTCTCCGTGCATGCTTCCCCAGAATGCACAGAAGAACCCGCTACACATTATCAGGACTAGGTAGTACGAGGCCACAGAGTAAGACTTTAGAATTAGAAAATTAGTTATGCTTTGGTTATTTTTCTTTAATAAAATGTCAGTGCATTTATGCAGTGTGCTCACAAATCCTCCTCCTACCTTATACATGCACGTTTTAATGCTTCGTGAGAGAGACACAGATTCTGGCCATTAGAGGCTCTACCTTCCCCATGAACCTCACCACCTCGAGTAGAATAAATATCTTACAGATGATGCAATCTATACCCTCCTCCTCCAAAGGCCCAGACATAAACAAAACTTCCCGGCTGCAGAAAGAGCTATGCCAAAAGGAATCCGACTTCCATAAAGACCCTTATAGTAAACTCACAATGATCCCAGCTGTCCAGGGGTTCAGCAGGAAGACCGCGCACACTAGAAACGTGCAGGCAAGCACCACGCTGATGGCTAGCAGCAGCCAGTGGCGGAGGCTGATGTACTGCTCCCAGAAGAGGAAGGGGTAGCCGTTGGGGTAGCTGGACAGCCCTAAGCTTGTGTAGTTGTTGCAGATGACTCTCACTTTTTCAATGGCTTCCACAAAGTCCGAGGTGTCTCGCAGGCCGTTGAGGTAGAAAGGGAACTGAGCATACTCGATGGGCTCTGCTGCTGGGACTGGACAAAGGAGAAGAAGGTGAGTGAAGGCCCTCCGTGAAGAGCCTCCTTGTCCCAACTCCACAGATGTCCCAGAATTTCACGCATTACCTTTCTTCCAAAAAAAAAAAAAAAAAAAAAAAAAAAAAAAAAAAAGACAAACAGATAATTCTGGGCCTTTACAATATTTGGAGTTGGTTTAAAATTTCTCACTAACAATCCATTTGTTTTCACAGTGTGCACATTCATTCGTGCACGCGAGGTTACTCATTTGGGCACACGTGCGGAGGTCAGAGGACACCTTGGTTGCCAACCTTCTCCTTCTACCTTCTTAGTGAAAAGTCTCTTGCTGTTTGCGGTTGTGTATTCCAGGCTACTAGCCCTGGAGCTCCCAGGAATATTCCCCACCCCCTGCCCATCTTGCCTTATGTACCGGGATCACAGTTACACCCAGCTTTATGTGGGTTCTGGGGGTTCAAACCCAGTCCTCATGCTTCTATACCAAGCTCACTGCCCATTGGACTATCTCCTGAGCCCAGAATCAACCCTTGGGTTTTTATTTGGTGGTGGTGGTAAGGGAGTAATCGTGGAGTGCGCAGGGGTAGGCCTCTGTGATCTGTTTCTTTTTAAGCCTTTGATTTTTATTATTCCAGAAGCAATTTGTGAGAACTCTAAACGCTGTAAGGCTTACAATGTTGAAAATACTTTTTGTTTCCACATTCAATTTGCTCGCCTTGACCAAAATAATCCCACAGTCATGCCTTGCAGAAAAGACACTCTACTTTCTTGTCCTTTAGTGACCTAACAACTTAAACCTTCCCTGCTTTTCTAATGTAATGCTAAGTCTTCAGCAAGAAGGGAAGAAATCCTCACATAACAGGCATTTAGTTACTGCCCTTGTGTGTTCCACACCCTTTGGGGTCATTCAGTTGACTTGCTAAACATGATTTGCCCTATTATAATCTCAACTATAAATTTTCATTAAGACAAGCCTTGGCTGCTTGCCACCCGTCTCTGGGGGTTGGTACAGGGGAGTTCAGACTGCTGCCTGCCCTGTTTGCAAAGGGACCGTCTTCTTTCTCATGTCTTCTCTTGGCTCAATATCCAAAGCATACGCTGCTACTAACATCTCTAACATAAATGCAAACTGAATCCACACAGAGCCACCTTTCAAGCCCTAGGCTTAGAGGTGAAGGGAAGAGGAGAAGCCTGATGTATACAGACTTTTCTTCTCCAGTTTAAACAGCTCTGACAGAGCACAGGTGCTTGGTGGCTTATAGAAATGACCCAACATGCCAAAAATCCCTTCAACACCAGAGTTGACAAAAGTTAAGATAAACATATAATCCCTAGCGATAAAACTCGGCAATAGTAAAATAACACTCGATGCGGAGGCGTCCCCAACTTTCACACAGAACAGCTGGCACCAGGAGAAATGTGTGGAGTTAAAGCTACAAAAGGAGGCTAGAAACAATTATTTCTCAAAGCAGAGTGCAGGGCTGTGTCCCATTACACGTCCTCATCTGTCTCCCGGAGTTTTAAACTAAAAGAAATATACTGTTCTATTTACACTTTTGAACCCTGGGTAGTGTCAACAAAATGAACGAGGCCGTCGCTGAGCTCTAGGCTGTACCTTGAGGAGGCCTCTGAGAGCTCCCAGCCTCTCCGGATAGACGGCTACTTACTTCTCAGCCTGGTCTCGGGCATGTAGTCGGCTCTGTCGTGGACCCATTCTGGTCGGTGAGGCCGGATGTTGGCCTGGGAGGCAGCATAAGCTACAGGGTCGTTGCTGACCCAAGCCGTCAGGTAGATGTAGAAAGCGCTGGGATTAATGATGCCATCTGCATCCACCAGACGCTGTTTAGTCAGCTACAAAATGGGAAGAACAGAGGTCATTCAGAGTGGGGCTGTGGGGTAAACACACTCCTGCTGGGAGAGCAAGGCTTCTTACCCCCATCTCCAGGGCTTGACAGTGCCCCCAAGTCCCACAAGGGTACCTTTGATGTCTTTCAAAATGCACTTATTTGGGGAGATGCAATCACCAGTGTGTTTACAGCAAACACACGGTTCTGCAGATGGCCCAGGAATCGGCTGAACCAATTAAATCTGAATGCTAAAAGAGACTGTCTGCAGCCAAGGCGGGTAATGAACAATCTGGAAAAACATATTTATAGGAGGGGGGGGGGGAAACCCTGGCAAGCATCCCTATCCACGTCTGTGTGCAGTTAACCTCTGTTGTTAACACTGAAGGAAATACCACCCAGTAAATGGAGGGGAGCTATAAAATAAAACAACATCTGTATAAATTTTGCTAACGCAGCCTCCGATGACCTGCGTATCTAAAAAACAAAAACAAAACAAAACAAAACAAAACAAAAAACCCCAAAAAACAAAAACGCCCATTGCCAGAAAGAGGAAGACAATGATGCAAAGCCAGGGACCTTCTATGTAATCTGACGTCTGAGCCCTAGTCCTATTCAGTGGCCATATCTGCTCCCACAGAAGGTCTTGTGGGCTCTGCTTGGGTCAAAGACACCAAGAGTCAGAGTGTGGATTATAAATATGGTAGATACACCGAAAAAAAATTTCCTGTTTACTTTAGATCCAGGCCTCCTTCCAAAGTTTGGTCTTTTTTTTTTTTTTTTTAAACAAAATGAAAAACACCAGTGACAGAGGTTCACAGAGAAAGAGAGGAGGAATAAGGAGCGTGGAAGAGATGGAGAGAAGTAGACGGCAGGGATCTGGATTCAATTAGTGCATGGGATCTCTAACAACTGTAGGTCCTCAGACCGTCTCTGGAATTACATAGCACAGCTCCTGGCCTCCGTGCATGCAGCACGCACGCTCTTTCTCCCGGGAGAGGAAATGGCATCTTGGTGCCTAGCCCCACCACAGGCATCCCACAGACTCCCCGGTCCCTTAGTCCAATTCAGAACTACTCTGCCATGCTTGCAGGCAGGCTGGTCTACCATACGCTTGTCAGCTCTGGCAGCCCATGGCTGCCACTATAAAGCACCAGACTTCACACTCCACAACGAATGAACAATGCACTCTGTTCATCTGTCACCTTCAATGCACACAGCAGAGCTGCTGGGGAGGTCACTGCTGGCTGGATGTTTTCTGCCTGAAGATGCAGAAAGCAAACTCCCAAGACCGAAGAGGCCTAGGACTCACTCCAAACCCAGGGTGGAAAGGTACCAAAGGGGACGTGCTAGAGTCGGAATGCTTCAAATACAGAGTACTACCAAAAAGAACAGCTCTCATTACCAAGGGGTGAGCAGCGTGCGGAGGGGGCGTATGCTCCTGTTTGCTATATTCAGGCCACAGAAAGCTGCCTGTACTCAGCACCTACTCTTGACCCCAAAGCATTAATAACAAATACCTTCTCCCACCATCGAGTGACCTCTCTGATCTTCTAAGCCACCCACCCACCCACCTAAGCTCTGTTCAAATGACTGTCACCTGACAAATCCACTGTCCCATGTCTGAATACACCACAGCAATGAGTATTAAACTCTGAAAGCCCCGAGTCACTGGGAAAAGTCTGTGCTGTCAACACTGCATTTGCTCACTGCTGTTGTGTTAAGAGGCAACACTTGTCCTGTCACTTGACGAGAAGGGAAAGGAAGGGATGTTTTCTGGCTAGCCTGAGGTCCCAACATAGTTACACCATCAGGGCCTCACGGAACACAAACTGGAACCACACACTGCCAAGCCCAGTTGCCAGGGGTTAGCTGTCTAGAAGTAGTTGTACACAGAGCCCTGGAACAGTGGAAATACCTGACTAATGTCGATGGGCTTGTCTCTGCTGCCAGTCTGCACCAGGAGTTTGTAGGCGAGGACCCCGTCGTCCGATCCATTTTTGTAATTGTTTGGCACGATCCTCCCAGTTTCCCAGTCACTGTCAAACGCATCCTGAAGTCCTGGAAACAGCAAACATGTGCAACACATTAAAACCTGGACCAAGAGGCCTGGTTCTGAGGGATGATGCTGAGGACAGCAGGCAGGGTGGGGAACTTATCTGCAACTTTCTCTCACTTAAGAAAGGACTATACAGGGGGCTGGAGAGATGGCTCAGTGGTTAATGGCACTGACTGCTCTTTCAGAGGACCTGGGTTCAATTCCTAGCTCCGACATGGTAGCTCACAACTGTAATTCCAGTTCCAGGGGACCTGACACCCAGGGCAAAGCACCAATGCATATAAAATAAAAATTATTAATCATAATAAAAAGGACTATACAGTGCTAATCAACTGATGCTCAGAGGGGAAGAGAAAACACACACAATTTACTTAGACCAAGGAGCAAAAATCCAGGAGCTGGATAGCTGCTTGCTCAGATCATTTGCTGTTCTTCCAGAGGATCCAAGTTCAGATCCTAAAAGCCACTTTGGAGGGCATGCAACTGGTCATAACTCAAACTGCAGAGGCAATGCCTTCTTCTGAAGGGCGTGAGCACACACACTCATGCACAAGGAATAAAGGGGATGGGGGCATAGCAGCACGAGCCTTTAATTCTAGCACTCAGGAAGCAGAGGCAGGTGAATCTCTGTGAGTTCAAGGCCAGCCTGGTCTACATGGTAAATCCCAGAACAGCCAGAGCTACATAGAGTGATCCTGTCCAAAAAATAGAATAAATAAAAAGAAACTTTTTTTTTTTTTTTGAGACAAGGTCTTACTATGTATCCCTGCCTGGCTTACACCTAGACCTCACCATGTAGACCAGGCTGGCCCAGAATGGACAAAAATCCACCTGTCTCTGCCTCCCCCCAGCCCCAAGCGCTGGTATTAAAGGTGAGCCCCACCATGGCTAGCTCAACTCCCCCTTTTAAAAAAAACTTCGTGACCGTTCTAGGGAGAAGAGAAAGGCACACACTACACCTATTAACCATTTCACGTCACATAGGGAGCCATCTCAGGAGTTCCTCAACAGGACCAGAAATTCCACCCTGAGCAGTAAAATCCCGTTCAAGCTCCGGAACTTCCAACAGCAGCTTGCCCTGGAGCCAGGGCAAGGGAAAGAGACTGTCAATGTGATCCATCTGTCTGACTTGTGTGGCTAATACAAGCTGTGGGATCTGCTGCCAGGTTGTATAAAGATCACAGCCAACCCCTATTCACTCTCCTATCCTCCTCTCTGTCACCCTTCCTTCCAAGTGGAGAGGGGTGTGTGTGTGTGTGTGTGTGTGTGTGTGTGTGTGTGTGTGTGTGTGTGTAGGGGGTGGGGGTGGGGAACACCTCACAGGGCAAATTTGGATCTGTTTGAGAACAGAAAGCCACAGGCCAACCCTAGGAGGCTCTTCGTGAACAAGCCCTGGGGTGGGCGTGGGGGTGGGGCACTTTCTGGGCTCGGGGGATGGGTGAGCCCACCAGCTCACCACACACAGCTGGGCTTGGCCTCTGTAATCAAAACCACCATTACAGACCTGATACTTTGGCGTACAACTGTAGAGGCACATTGGAGGAGAAAACAGGGCTCTGGTGACCCAGAGCCTTAGGGTCTGAGCACTGCCTGGAGGGCGCACTCCACAACACCCTACCAACTCTGCTCCTCACTCACCTCCCAGGTGCTCAGAAGACCTGCCCCTGTCTATGCCTGCTTCAAGAGATGAATTTTACTCCATTTCAGGACACTAGGGGGGACTTCAAAGACCAAAAAAAAAAAAAAAAAAAAAAAAAAAACCAAACTAAATGACAAAAATGCATGTTCTGTGAATGCTTTCATGGCGAATGAGGTGTCTGGGGTTGGGGAGCAGGAGGTGGGGCTGCCCTTAAAACAAAAGCCTTCCTCCAACTGGGTCACCAGGGGGCCCTGTACTTCAGGGGCTGGGGGGAGGCAGGCAGAGGGACCACCAGCGTGGCAATCTCCAGTCTCAGACAGACTTTTTCACAGTAAGGTTTGTACAGGCAGCACTGAGCAGATGTTATTTTATGACCCAAGGCCCTGCCCCGCCCCCATTCTGGAAAAAAAATAAACAGAAGGAGGACAACCACTCACCAACCCCTACCAGGGGCCTGGCCTGTTAGCCAAGCCAGGAGAGGGGAGAGCTTTTATGATTCTAGACCTGCGTGGCTCTAACCTTCCCCTTGGCTTAGTGTGTGGTGTGTGTGTGTGGGGGGGGAAGGGGGTTTGTGCTACTCCAGACAGTGCACAATCCTTAGCATTAGGTCAGTTCTAATGCTCACCTCCTGAGAGACCATTCCTACTTTACAGATGAAAGAGCTGAGGTCTGGAAAGGTTAAACAGTCAGAGCTAAGCTTTGAACCCAGGCAGTGTGCTGTCCACAAGAGTCATGTGACTCAGCCCAGGAGGAGCAACATCTGGCGTCAAAGCAGGTAACCAAGGGCATCTGTGAAAGTTCCTTCACACAGAGAGACCTCTGCACTATGTACGGAAGCTGGAGATCAGAGATTCGGGTCTGCCCTGCAGCCAGGTCAGAACACATTTCCTACAATGCTGGCCCCAATGCACACTCTTCGGCCACTGCCTTTATGAGTTGACTGAGCTCTTTTACAACTAGTTCAGTATTTTCTGACTAACCACTGAAAATCTCAACACCATGGGCTAGACACCAAGCACTTGCCCCCTGGCTGACATGTACATTCCAACAGTTTATAGCAAAACCTTACATTTCAGCTGCAGTCCTCTTAATAGAAACATTTTACCCAGAAAGTTATTAGTCTGCGCTACAGGAGTTACCCAAATATACAAGCCCCTAGAAGTGAAATGATAATCTATTTCATTCCTGTAATTCAGTATGAATTAAAAATAAATGCCACCTGTACATGATACACAGTTACACGTCACCTCTAACTTCGCCTCCTTTCTGTACATGTTCACAGATGTCCTGTGAGCACTGGGGATCTATCTCGAAGGAAGAGTGCTGCCCTGGGCTCTACCTCAGGACCAACGTTTTGAAAGTGGCATGAGACAATCCCTGTGTTTGCCATTAAACACTTTTCAGGAATGAAAAAAAACAGAGTAACGACCGGAGTGTTGACAAAGACCACTGATACTGCATAGCTGAGCAGACTTCAACAACAAAGTATCTGGGAGAACAGCACTTAGATAAGAACTGCTTCCTCCAAAGAAATGTTCAGGGACCTGAGCAACCACTCAGGACGTCTGGAAATCACCTCTGCAGCAAAGAGCCCTGGCATCTGTGAATGGTGCTCGGAGGGCCCACAAATGCATCACAGCTTCAGGGCTGCCTGGGATTCTGACACCTTAGCACGCACTGACAACAGTTTGGCTACGTACTGTCTGCTCAGCAACCAAACAGTAGTCCAAATACACAGATATCTACACATATGGATGTGCTGGGTCTTACCCAGAGACTGTCTGTAAAACTGTCTTAAGAAGACCGGCCTTCAAGCTGCCTAGACACAGGGTCTGTGGCGCCTTCCAAACCCAAGCCTACCTCACCATAGGGAAGACACTGACTAAAGACATGGAAGAGCTCCTTCAGCACAGCAGACCTCTTTGTCATTTGTTATTTGCATGTCTTTGGTCAGTGTGTGTGTGTGTGTGTGTGTGTGTGTGTGTGTGTGTGTGTGTTGTGTGTGTGCGTGTGTTGGGTAGGGGGTGGGTGGAAAACAGAGACTGTTTGGCTCTTTGTTAATTCACTATTTAAAATAAAAAAAATAATGCACTTAGAACCTAGTGTAAAAAAGCAACACTTGGGGTGAACTCAGGTTGATCTCCTGGGCTGTAACAATAAAATGATACTTTCTCCCCTTCCCGCAAACCAAGTGGGACCTGGCACATTTGTATGAGCAAATTCTAGTCACTGCTCAACACCAAGTTGTTTGTCACCTAATGCAGACTCATAGGGAAACCGGATGCCTGATCTTTACATGCAAGAGTACTGACTTAAGACAAAAAGGACACTTAAATATGTGTTTAAATAAGCCTAATTAAGTGGGGAATTAAGACAGCCACTGGGATAATCTAAGCCAACAAATGCTAGAGTTGTAATTGCTTGGGTGCTCCAATAAGAGCAATTTTACTGGGATTGTGTGGATAATGGTCTTGATTGTCTCCTGTGCTTTACGTGTGTCAACATTAACAGATGTTCTGGGAACCACTGAATGCGTTTATATTCAGCCAGTCAGCAGTTGCAAGCAAATCTAGTCCATCTTACATTTTTCTCCCACTGACTAACAACAAACACTTCCTAGAGATGTGTCTAAGGGTAAAAGGCCCTTGTACCAAACCCCAGGATCTGAGTTCCTTTCCCCAGGAAACTATCTTCTGGTCTCAATATGCACACCATGGTATGCACACGGACACCCTCACACGGATCATGCGCAAATCAACAGGTAAAATGGAAGCAGGGGGTGCCCCTTCATGAGACAGCAGGATACGGGTGTGCATGTCTAGGTTCATCACCAAACGGAAGGACAGTTGGTATGAAGCTCTTTAGAAGGTAACGGTGTCAAAGGTCAATCTGAAGAGTGAAACACACATGCCGGGTGGGGGTGAGCGATCTCTACACCTTGCACTCAGATTTGCTATGAATCCAAAGTATCTGAATAAGAACCTGAAAGATGCCCAAAATATGCAACGGCTGACCCCAAATCCACTGTTAACGGTAGGCTGTAATTTAGCAGACAGCTCAGAAAGAAATCCCATCAAATACTCCAGTTTCATTCAGTTGCCAAACTAGCCACCGTCCAAAAGGAGAAGAGTAAATAAAAGTCCCCAGGCTCCCCTGTTTTCTAATGTCTTCCCCCAATGTGTGTTCACACACGCGTCCTGCTCACACAGTTCCAAGTTTTTAAAGCCAGAGTCGGGAGACTGCCACAGAAATCAGGCTGCAGAGGCAGAGGTGCCCAGCAGTTAAGACCACTAGATGCCCTTGCAGAGGACCTGGGTTTGGTTTCCGGCACCCACAACTCCAGGTTCAAGGAATCCGGTACCCTCTTCTGGCCTCAGGGACCAGACACACACATGATGCGATGCACACACATGCAGGCAACACAGACACACACACACGTAGAAGTTAAAGCCCTTCCATTATGACGGGACACTTTCACACAGTGGGCAGGCGGGAACCACTCACTGAGGGTGAGTAGAGAGGACAAGTCAGAGGACAGCAGCAAGCCCTACCTTGGAGCCAGTCTCTGAAGTAGTGCAGCCACATCTGGGGAAGTTGCTTGTTCTCCTCCAGCATGACATACTTCACGTTGCTGAAACTCTTATGAAGGTCATAAAGGAGGTGTTGGATATTTGGGTAGTCTGCTTTCTGGGTGACTATATACATGTTGTAGAAAGAAAAGTATTTGAACTGTGCAGCAATGAAGTCATATTCTCTGGTTTCCCGAGGGACGATGTCCGTGAGGTCCAGTCCGTCTCTCACTCGTGTGGTTCCATAGAGGCTGACCCCCAGCAAGCCCAGGAAAAGGAGGATTACGACAACCTGCAACAGAGAGAAAGAAGGGTACTGATGAGACCCAGAACAGCACCCCCGATTCCTCCAGGGCCGGCACCAACCGCCTCCAGCCTTAGTGTGTCAGGCCAGGGGTCAGTCTCCCAGAGGGAAAAACATAAACCACCCTAGACCTCATGAAGAATAAAAATTTCTATAAAGTGAAGTCCTCATTTACATTCACAGTTAACATCTGCTACGTGGAGCCTCCCCATGTAGCACTATGCTCAATTTAAGTGGCCTTGAAATTTGCAGTCTAACTCTGGTGGGCCCATCCTGAAGCACACACGCCCACGATGACGGACCCCAAAGGTGCGACAGTTCACATGCTTTTTTTGGGGCAGGGAGCCACACGCGGTAGAAGGTTTACCTTGGCTTTGGGTTTCAAGAGGAAAGGAGCATAGTGCTTCTCTGCAAACGAAGACAGTGTCCACTTGGTGCAGGGGAGCTCGAGGCAGGGAAGGCTGGAGTCTGAGAATTGGGAAAGCAGGTCCCTGGTGGAGCTGGTGCTCTCGGGGCTCTGACAGCTGAGGGTGTCCTGGGTGACGGTGACAGGCTGCACAGAGATCTCGGATCTTGGCTCGGCAGTGGTGTAGTACACATGTGTATGAGGGTCGTACTCTGTGCGGAGCTGAACGGTGGATTGCATGGTGATGTGTGTTTCGTGGGCGAAGCTATGGCTGCTGTAGGGGGGTGGGGGGCTGTAACGGGTGTTACTGTGAGGCTCTGTGTAGGCCTGTGGTTCAACCTGAATCACCCTGCTGACACAGGGGCTAGAAGACAAGAGAGAAACACGTTGTAAGTGTGTGGCTATGACGGGGGGAGGGGCTTTCGTTTCTACTGAGGACTGATGCGATCTATCCACTGACGGCACTGACTTGGGAGAGAAATGTATACTGTTTCTATGCAAGCATCATCTGAGTGCTTGGGACACTGATACCAACGACACAGTTGATCCTGAAATGATGATAAACGTCTTCGAAGCACAACTCCAAAGAACTAGAAATACTAAAGACAAATTCCAACACCCTGCGTTTCTAAACGGGTCGTTTTTAGCATCCCCTCTGCTCCAAAAAGCTACCTTACAGTCCAGAACAAACACAGCTCATGACAGAAGAGAAGGCTGCAGGAAGCAGAATCTCTAGGGGAGGAAGAAGTGTGGGAGCTCACATGTGCCTAATAACCTTCCCTGCCCCCATCACACGAGCCCAGACCCTGTTAGCTACATTCAATTCCCTCCTGAAGACTGGAAGTGTTCTCTAAACAGTCTTTCTATATGCCCAGTAAAGGCCCCAGGACCCTGAAAACAACGTACCTTGTAAAACAGCAGAAAATATCCAATCTTCTGTCTTCGCGTCTGTATAAATCCATACTGAGAATCGCAGGAAAAATGAGCAGCACCATAGCAAAATTGAACACCACTACCACAGCAGCCTGGAGCAGGAAAACAACGAAAGCGGTCAACACCCCTCCCAGTTAGCATGTTGCTTTATCAGCAAAGACTTTTTAAAGAAACTGTTACTTCATGTGTGTGTCTGCCTGAAAGTACAGGCACCGTGCGTAAGCCGTGCCCTCCAAGGCCAGAAGAGGGTGTCAGATCCCTGGGACCAGAGTTACAGTCTTGAGCTGACGTGTGGGTGCCGGGATGAGAACCTGGGTCCTATAGTAGAGCAGGCAGTGCTCTTAACCACTGGGCCATCTCCCCTGCACCCCGTACAAAGATGTTTAGGACAGTACTCTCTCAACAATACTGCTGCCACCTAGAGAAGCAGAGTTAGCAGACCACTAAGAGGCTGAGTGTGACTGACATAGTTCTACCCCAGAAGTTATAGAGGTTGGAGTGAAACCACTACCTACTAACCTAACCAGATCACATCTACAAAGCAAGGGAAAGAGAAGACTTGAGATCATTTTACTTAAATACAAAAAGAAACATTTCCCTTCTAGGACACTTCTAAGAGTTCCCACAACCCTGATTAATAATCTGTACATAAAGTAGATCAAGTCTATCAACGTGTCACCTTTAAAACATGAAACAAAATTTCACACATGTCCCCTGAGGTTTTTTAATAGGCACATTCCAAACAGCCTCAGGAGCAGCTTGCGGGGTGTGCTGGTGAGCAGCAGCCAAGGTCAAGGAGAGTTAAGCAGAAAGAAATTCCTGTGTGTGATTATAGTCTGTAGAATAAATAAGTATGGATTCAAAAGCCACTCTATAACCTAGAATAAACACATGGTTAGGTTCTGCAGCACTCGGGAAAATCTCCTGCTGACCTAGTAAAAATTGCAAAATTGGGCTGTTATTAGGCAAAGCCAACAGGACATCTAACAGGCAGTCCTGTTCTGAGATGTGGACAAGAAGCAGAAAAGAAAAAAATGGAAGGGGAATGCTAAATAGCCAAGAAATAACCAGAAATTTGTTTAAAAAGTAAAAATCTCCTGTAGAGCTTTCCAAGGACAGTCTCTGTGACCTTCTTAAAACAGGAAGATTGGGGTGGGGGGGGGCACTGACTAACTGCTGGTACCAAGAATTAAAAACCAAGAGACACTTCACAAAGGGCTTTTTGAAGGGAGTATAGGTTTATGTCCCAGGTGAAACAGCAAGCTGGAAGAGATGCCCTTCAATAAAGAGCCCCCTGTTAAGTCTACAGAGCCATAAAATAGCCAAGTCTTTCCTAGTCGATCTTAAAAGGACCTCATCAATTCCAACAGAACAGGTTTGCTACAGCTCAAATGCACATGTAGGGCTCTGAAGGCTTCCTCACAAACAGCACATCTGTGTGACAAGTTCCTGTCACTACTGTGACTGGACACACCCTCTAGGAGATGCATCCCTTCTCTCTAAAGTCAAGTCTGTGCTGGGTGCTGGAGAAGCAAAGAGAGCTAAGACAAGACTTGCCCACGAAGCTACAGATGAATCACACCCAGGGCTGAGATCTGCCACTTTAAAAAGCAGGTCCCCCAGCAGCTTAGGGAGTGCGTGCTTGTGGGTTGGGGTGCACATGGTTGGTGCAGGAAGGCTTCCTGAGAAAGAGTTAAGAGGATGAAAACAGGGTCCAGGAGGAACACGGAAGAGGCATGACGCTTGGCTGAAAAATACAGGGCAAGAGAGGCATCCCTGACTCAAGCTACTCAAGTTCTGAGGCAGGTGATTGGAGGCCAGGCTGACCGCATGCACCGACTGCATTCCCAAAGTAACCAGTATGTGGACCGTTTGTCTCAGACAAACCGAGGCCTGAGGCTTCCCAGCCAACCAGATTCAAATGGAGGTCTGATGCAAAGCCCTCATCCTAACCAGTTAGGATGCTCTCGCCAGGGACGGTGACTTCCTGAAACGGCACAGGCGTGGACTGCTGAGCAACTGGGTGCAGGGAATTCTGGGAAGAATGAGACTCAGGAGGAGATTTTCCATGAAATCAGTCATGCTGGGGCTGAATCCTATTAGCCTTTTAATTCCAGTCATGTTTACAGCTCAGGAGTGGGATGCAGAGATAAGCCCTAGGCATCTCTCAAGGGCGAGGGCAGAGACCCTGAGCCACAAAGCCTCACAAGCACGGGGACAGCAGGTGCTGCCACGGCAACACGCATCAAAAAAGTCTGAGGGGCTGCTATCTCTGCTCACTCAGGCGGGAGCAGAAGGAAGAGAGCCCACAGCAATGGCGTTCCTAACCTCTTTTTTGATGATGTGTTACATATATTTAGGGGGAACCCCTTCCTAAAAAAGAAAATGAACGCTAAGTGCCCCCTCCTCAACCCCGTGGGTATCAAAACCTTAAAAGTGACTAGCAAGGATTTCTCAAGACACAGTGGCCTCTGCAAAGGAAGATGGAGAACTTCAAACAACAAAAAGAAATTCTAAGTCAGGGAATCTGATGGGCATGATCTTGGCTGTGGATTGAACTCAGTTATTCTGCTCGGAGAAGCTGTCCCCACCCCCCTACACACACACACCTGCAGCAGGACCCTAACCTAAAACCTTTTACTGGCATGGATGGGTGGGGGGGGGTTTGGGAGTGGCAGGGGCAGACTACTTCTTTGTGGGGTTCTGGGTTCAAATCCCACTGCCATAAAGAGGAAGGCGGGGGGGGGGGTGTGTGTGTGACAGGGACAATGCCCAGTAGGTAAGAGCAGTCACTCTGAAAACCTGAGGGCCTGATCGCAAATTCTGTTGTGTAACAGTTTCCTCCAGAACCGAAACACATTCTATCCTGCAGGAAGCTCTTTTAAACAGGAACGTAAACAACTCAAAGCAGCATCAGGAAGTCCCTGAAACCGATTAGACTCACTAAGGGCCCTCCCTGGCTCAGTAAGCAGCGCCAAACTACAAAGACTTCCAGACAATTGAGCTGCAAAGAAGAGATCAAACCAGCTGTCTGGAAGAAGCAGAGGTTTAGACACGGAGATACTTGGAAAAGACACTCTCCAACACGCCGAGCTGGTTCCCAGCTTTGCGAGCTGTCTGTCACCATGCTGAGGCGGGCTTTGGTGATGCAGCTGTCTTGGAGTCATTTCTGCTCCTGTAAATACTTTGGTCCGTCATAGGTTCCCTATGTGGTGTGAGTAGACACACGTGTGTGTTTGCAACTCCCCAGGAAAAGTTTGGTCATACAACCAATTCCCAGTATCCATATAAAGAGCTGAATACTGCTTATGCTGCCTGTCACCCCAGAACTGGGGCAGAGATTACTGGCCATCCAGCCCAGATGACTGATAAGCTTTGGGTTCAGTGAGGGACCCTTTCTCCAGTCAGAGAATGAAGGAGGAAGATGCCTGATGTCCTACTCTGACATCTGTACATGTATATGTGAACGAACACACACACACACACACACACACACACGAGAAAGACACACACAGACAGAGACAGAGAGAGAGAAAACAATAAACACTGAAAGCAAACCATTATCATTAGAATGAGTTAAGGTCTTGGCCCGGGGATTTTCACTCACTGAGGAACAGACACTACAGGGAAGGCTGGTCAGGAGACAAGCTATTTCTCTGAGAGAAGGAACAAGGAACACGCCACTATTTAGTCAGGGCAAAAGAAACAGAAAAAAAAAAATCATCTAAGTTTCACAAGAGAAAATTCCAGATGCTGTCGGTGGCTATGGATGACAGACACACACAGCGCAAAAGTACTCATGTCCTGTAAGGTACTTGCTTACCTTGGGAGAACTTAGCGCACTGGATTTTCTAAAAGGCTTTTCTATCCTCGGGGAGAGCCCACACCGTAGGGTGTCATTAAGGGAGGAGAGTTTGCCTTGATGAAGCTCCAGTACTGAGAGGGGAGGAGAGCATAGAGTGAGGCAAGGGAAAGGCGCGAAGAGCTGACAGACAGAGCGGACGGAGCAGGTAGTGCACAGCGAGGAGGCAGGCGGAGGAAGAGAGAATGAACGCAGGGCCCCTTATTAAAGGACTCCAGAATCATCTCCATTCCAGAGTTGGCTGCACACGAGCAAGAGCACACAGACAGAAGAGCGTGCAGCGGATGCATGCCCGTGCAACGTCAGCTACCACCAAGGCCACAGGCATCTTTCCCCTTATCTTTCCTATTACAAACCCCTGGTCATCTTCATTTTCTTGTTGTCTCAGTTTCAGACTTGACCTCATCTGGTAACCATTGCTGACTGTACCTTCCACAGATGTTTATCACAACAACCCCTTTTCTGATTTTTTTTGGTTTGCTTTTTTTCTGGAGTTGGTGCTTGTGGCTGACAGGGGCTCTCTCATAAGTCTCAAGATCTTGCACTGTTAAGGAAGTCTTACACCTCACGCATAGAAGGCCGCACCTCACCCACAGCGGGGGCCTGTACTGGTAGAGAGATGAAGCTCAAAACACCTAGGGGACTGTTTCTACTTAGGTGACAAATGTGGAGTCAGTCACCTTCTCTTTCCGGTCATGGTTCTTAGCACCTGTTGGGTGAATGGGCACGAGGGAATACAAACTTAACAATAGTTTCACACAAATAACATCAAGGTGGCTTCCTTCAGGCAGCTGGCCACCCCATGAGTTATCCCAGTCTAAGAAAAACGGAGATGTATGCTCCCTTCGGCTGAAGCCTTATAAAAAAAAAACTTCCGCCATGTCTTAAACTACCCCACCTGAAAGTCTGCTGCTCTGACTGATCCAGGGTTCCTATGAGTTACAACAACTACAGCTCACAGCTGTTCCCCTCACACCTGGGAATTGATAGTCCGGGTATGAGAAGACCCGGCTGGGACGGAACTATCAGAGCAATGAGTCCAGCAACACGGCCTTTGCACGTCGTAAGCGGCAGGCACTCTAAGCTTGCTTAGGCAGCCTAAAGAAGGGAGGAAGTAACCAAGGAGGACGGGACAAAAAGCAGAGGCCAACAAAGGAAAAGGCATTGGGGCACAAGAATCCCCAAGAGATGCCCCTTACAGGATACAGCCAAGTGGCCAACACACCTTCATACCCAGGGTTCAGACGCCCTATCTGCACACACCAATACAATCTTCTAGGGCCTTGAGGTGGGGCTGTTTAGGGAAGGGAAGTAGTCTTGACATAGGATCCAGCCAAGGAGGACTTCAAGGCACATCCCTGGGCCCGCCGACCAAAAACTACACAGTACAATTCCGCAAGCGAAGGGTACCTGTTTTGGAAGGTGCTGGGTCATGCTCTGAAGCACCCACCCAACAGCATCAAGATCCAAATGCTGATGGCAAGCACATGATTTGTAAAATAAGTGCCGGACCCAAGTAAAGCAGAGGGGAGGAGGTGCTGGACAGCCAAGCCACAGGGTCCCGCCCACTGCAAACTCACCTGGAGGGAGAAGGCTCGAAGTGCAGGGATAGGGATTAAGGCAGCCATGAAGAAGGCAGTGACATTGCTGATGGAGGTGAGGGCCACGCTGGCTCCTGTGCGCTTGAGGCACTCCCCGGTCCTGTCCTGAGGAAGACAAACCACAGTGCTGAGGGCTGTGGCCTACACTACACACCCCGCTAAAGCACGTCATGGCGGTTTCTAGTGCCGGCTGCACTGTGTCTAAGGAATGAGGAGAGGCTACGACCAGTTTGACCCCACTACCAGGACCTGCTGGGTCACGTGTCCGTCACCCAAGTCACAAAGCCGGAGGTAATGATGACTTGAACGCAAACTCGTTAGGGGAAGGGAAACCACAGACGCAAACTTGGGCTTTGGGAAGGGACGGCACACGTGAGCTACAAATGCTGAGACACCCACACTTCCACGGGCTCCCTAAATGGGGCTCTCAGCATTTCTCGAGGTGGCGCGTCATTTGACCGGAGACCGACCAGACGGTGGGAAAACCACAGGGCACACTAAGAGAGTGGCTTTGAGCGGGCCCCCAAACTTCCTTCTTTTCTCTCACTGTTACCTCAAACGGAATCCTTTTGTTTTGTCCTGTTTCACTGAATGCGTGTGCCAGGAGGAAGACGTCATCCACACCAACACCGAGAGCAAGAAATGGCAAAACCTGCAGCAGACACAGGCAACCATGGCATTAGGCAGGTAAAAATCCCGCAGGGAAACATTGCTCACAGTGTCCCACAGGTGCCAAAGGTGAGCTTATGCCGGTTCGGTGTGCAATGTACTTATCCAATAGTTTGCATCCCTAAAACCTTTCAGTTACAACTCAGAGATGTTCTCACAAGCCTCCAAGGTCCAGGTACAAGAACTTACTTTAGAATTATAAGTGAAAAGCCTCTATATAAAGCTATAGTTCCCAGAAACCCCTATACAAGCTTCAGTGAGAAACTCTGAAAATACAAGATGGTGCCTCCATGCCGACGGGCTCCAGCCATCGTTGTATTCCCCGTGTGAGTCTAATGCCTACTGGAGTTTGGGAATCAATAAACGACATAAACTATTCTAAGTGAATGTCTCTAGCCTCCGAGAGCATCTCTGGAACCCCCTCCCCCGCAAAAAAAAAAAAACACCCCAGTTATTAAATGTGAGCTTGTGTATATGCGCGTGAAGTGTGCGCGTGGACATGTGTGCCACAGCCCGCTGTCTGCAGGTCAGGGGACAATTTTGTAGCCATACAGATTGAACTCAGATGGGCAGGTTGGCCTGGCAGGTGCCTTTACCCACTCCACCAGGCTTTTAACCCACAGACCAGACTGACCCGCTGAGAGCCGGACCTCCCCCAAGAGAAAGGGCATCCTCATAGAAAAGGTTTCTTCAGGCGAGATAGACACACAGGGGCAGAGGGCAGCAACGCGTGGCCCCTATAGTACCTGAGTTGTCGCAGCGTTAAAGGAAATCCCGATCAGGGAGCAGAGGCCCAATCCTGCGGCCACTGACAGCGCGACCAACAAGACGCCAGCCAGCCCCACGGCACCCTGGGACTTGGAGCAGTCCCAGCGTAACATGGTTAAACACGCATAGGCGAGCTGCAAGCAGAACAATTGGGGGGGGGCGGGGCGGGCGCAAAGGGGAATCACAGAGAGCAGGTGGGGGAAGACACACAACAAGAGGCAAACATTAGAACGTGTAGTGATTCTAATGTCTCCCCCACCCACTGCCCCACATCCAAAGGTAAGAGCCTATTAGCTCCAAAAACAACAAAATTTTACACTCCCAACATCACACAACGAGGGGGGGGCACCTCTGCAGTCCTTACAAGGCTGAGCTGTCCCTGTCTCGGGTGAACTTGTACGTTACTTAAAAAGCAGGAGCCATCATAGAAAAAGAACTAAAACCATGAAAACCAACCCAAACCAAGCCGACCACCCCCCAACCCACGGGAAGCCCAGAGTTACCATCAGTAGGTAGCCGCTGGCCACTCGGATGACACTGACATCGGAGAAGGATTTTAGGATGTCGTCCAGGGTTGTGGTGGTGAAGGAGAGCACCTTCTGAGTGGAATTAGGCGCAACGCTTTGGTGAACCACCTGTGGTCAACAAGACAAGACTAAATTCCCAAAAGGAATTTAGAGCACCAACACAAGGTCCCAGAGTTCAGAGGATGGGGGAAGAGAAACCTCCCTCCATCGGTGATTACAGGAGAGCAGGCAACCCACACAGTGGTTACCTGGAGTGCCCTACTTTGTAAGGCCAAGGTAGTCTCCCCTCCACAGCCAGACTTAATCCAAAGCAACTCGTCCTTTCAAATCCCACCTCCCCCACTTCATTTGCTGGCTAGTTTCAAAAGGTCACAGGCAGCTCCGTAGAGGTCACGGTTTGGGAAACAAAGGCCAGCCTTCTGTCACATGACCTGACCAAGGGGCCTGCTGTAGCAGCAGCTGTGAACAGACACCTTTTCCTGCTCAGCCAGAGGTTAGGTTTTTTTTTTTTTTTTTTTTGGTGTGTGTGTGTGTGTTTTTTTTTTTCTGTTTTTTCCTTTTTTACACGGTTATGCCTGGGCTCTGGAGTCTGTAATAGTTCCTAGGCGTGTTTCAAGGCGTTGGGAAGAGTGTCTCTTCAGACACTACTCCCAAGTCTTAACAATGGCCAAACAAAGAAAAATCAAGCTTGCATCTCATGCCTGTGTTCAGAACTAAAACCTGTATTGAAAGTTAATCCGAGGGAGGCTGGGTGCAGGGGTGTTAGGCCAGCAATGAGGTGGCTGAGGCACGAGGATAGCAGGTTTGAGACTGCCTGGACTGTATGCACAGTGAGACTCAACAGCAAAGAAAACCCCACTAAACCTAATGGGAACCGACGTTTTCCATGAAGAACGGCAACCAGGAAAGGAAGGCTGGACTAACTTACAAGTCCACGCTGATGTCAATGCAGGGGGGGGGGGCCTCACCTCCACATAAGTCCTCTGCCACGCCTCCAAGATGGCTGCTGCCCTATCCTCGTTCCAGTTGATATGAGAGACGTATTCGTAGCCCCTGAAGTGCTCGTACATTTGCTTGGGAGTCATTAACTGGAACATGGTCTGCAGGGCATGAGCGCTGTGTCGGGGTAAATAAGACAGAAGGCAGATCAGCACCACCAACACCAACAAGCTGTGCGTGCAACACGCCATCCCCAGTGAGCACCCCCAACTCTCCGACGTCTTCCCTCCTCTGCGCGCACATGTTTCCATTCAAACAAGGCCAGGATGGTTATTGTATATAATAGATTGATGTACCATATTAAAGGTGTAACCTTACAAACCTTTTACAGATAGGCCCCAAAATTAAATTAATAGGCAATTTCCTTTCTCAGTTCCTATTCCATGAACAGGAAGGAGAGGGGAGTAGATAGCTTGACCAGATACACTGGGCTCAGCCACGCACTCTCTCTGCGCAGAAATCCCAGGGGGAGGAACCTCAGACGGAACACCTGACACTTGACTGACGGAAGTCCTATAGGGCCCCCCCCACCCGTCTTTGACTCTGAAGAGCGCATGGCACTGATACCACTCAACTCCACACTACACCTGGAGTTTTCTTGCTCTATTAGTCTACATAAAGGGCAGACCTTTCAAAACCCTGCAATCAACAACCACAGCTCTGATGGGAACTACAAATCCATTCTAGAAAACTCCCCCTCCACGGGATTTCTTTGCAAGCCGGTCTGAAGTGCTAATGGTTTTCCCCCAACATTGAATGACACTGGACAGCCAGCTAGGATTGATGTGAGTCCAATGTCTGTGCACAAGAACAGCGGCACAGGGTGGTGTGCGGTGCCGTGTTGGATTACCTGACCAGTTTTCCAGTGGCATTCTTGACTGTGCCACCCACAATCAACTCCTCCTGCCAATGCATATACTTCCTGGATAAACCTTGACATCCACCATTCAAAACAAGGGCCACATCAAGAGGCTGCAATGAAAAGACAGCCACATAATTACGGGAATTAGTAGGCAGGTCACATGCCTCGTTAAAATCCAGTGCGTTGAGGGCTTGTTTGTTTCAGAGAAGGCATTAATAACAAGGCTAATGAGGGTTATGCTAAATCTTAGAGCAAAACTTAGTCCTGTAAACAACCTTAGTTCCATACACTAAATTAAAAAAGAAACAAAACTCATGGCCAAGGGAATCTTTAAGATGAAAATAATAAAAGAGAGCTGTAAATGAAACAAGACAGGGTTTTTTTTTTCCCCCTGCACTCTCTGGAAACTCACTTTGGTTGAATTTTTGTTGGGGGCTGTGGCAGGGCAATCTGGGTCGGCTGGGTTGAGGCAGGGCCGGTCCATGTACCCGTGGCCAACTTCAGCTTTATTCAGCATCTCCTCCCAGCTGTCCACTTGGTAGTTTATTTTCTTTAACTCTTCTAGGAATTCCAAGGGGTCAAAGTTTGTCCATCGCAAAGGAGGCTTACCTCTGCAAAAGAAATTAAGAGGGGAGGCCATGAGAAACCGGCTTCAGACAGGCAGGAGGGCACCAGGGCTGCATCTGCGCAAAATAGGCTATTCAAAGCAAAATTCTGGGACTTGGGTAGAAAGGGAAAATACAGTATTTCTGCTCAACAAAGTCATTTACGAACAAATCAGGAAAAGAATTCACGACTGAAGAGGAGAAACACAGAGCTTGCAAATTAACAGACATCAGAGACTTTTAATCCCCTAATATTGTATTTATATATATATATGAATGAAGATCCAAACTTAAAACCCAAAAGAGGGAAATCACAGTATTACCGTAGTAACTTTCTAGCTCAAAACATGCTTTCTAAACGTCACCAATCAAAGTATCTGACCTGTAGCCTTCAACAATCCTCTCTGACAGGCTGGCAGTGGGGTGGGTAAGCTCCCCATGGGCTCTGCCATCACCGCCATCACAGCTACTTCCCCCACACTCACTTTGGAAATTGCGCTGTTGACAGACCAGAAAGGCTTTTGGCTGCCTGTTATGTGGTTCAAACCGCACTGTAGCTGCTTAACCAGGCTGAAGTCATTATTCAGACTCTCCCAACCAGAAAACACAAAACCCCTTATTTCCCATCTAAAACTGTACACTGAAGGTCAGAGGATGGCCACACTGCAAATTGCTTTTGCAGATATGTGCTAGCCAGGACGGAAACAATAACCCAAGCACTAACTCTTTCGTAATTAGCTGAAAAAGGTCTACACTGAGTAACCATCATTCTTTAAACGATGTGGTATATGTAATTCCCAACTGCTGTCCTATGAAGCATCCCTTGTCATGGCCTTCACAGAGGGCACATTTCTCCCTCAAATATCATTACCACGAGCCAAAGAAGGGTTAAAATATTACTTTGCAGGAAGATCTTGAACTTTAGCTTTAAGTATTTCTTTGTGACATGTTCCAAGTAATAAATTCTCTTCTTAAAGGTCTGAGCGACGGTCTGCATCATTGCAAGCATTTTTATAAAAGAGTTTTTTAAAAATTTGCACAGACTGCACGATAATTTGCATTTTATTTGCATATAAATAGGTTGGTAAAAGTGAATGAAATTTAATGATGCCTACAGAACTGTTTTTGAAAAGAGAAAAAACATTCTGTTGAAATCCCTTCTTCCCCCACCATTCACTCAAAAAAAAAAAAAAAAAAAAAAAAAAAAGGGGGGGGTGCTCGGACTTTCAATGTTTTTATTTCTTGTCCAAAACTGAAACAGAATAAACAATAAGCCACACCGGAAACTGTCACAGAGCCCAGCAATAAGACACTCAGGGTACACTTACAGGAGGTACGCTGTCCCTGACTGCAACTTCGCCCCTTCCCAGAAGCAGTCCAAAGGTGTAATGATTAAGCAAGGGTAAAGGTACTCTATTATCTGTCAAAGCAAAAACAACAGGAATGCATTAGGCCAACGCTCACTGCTGGGGTGGTTCCCAGAATTGAGAATGTTCAAGAAAAGAACGTACCTGATCCATGTAACCTGTCTCTGTGATAAGTTCCCCCGATTTGTAGCACAAATGTTCCAACTTCCATTGCCTGTTGGGATGAAAAGCAGAGGAAAATGATAATTAAAAAAGAACAGAACACTCTCACTGCAAAGGAAATGAGCTCAAAAAACGGGAGCAACAGGACTTATCAAAAGGCTGTAATTTCGATCACGTTGAAGCATCTGTCAAAACCAGCAGAGCTTTTGCCAAGCAGAAAGCTGGCAAGCTTGCTTTAATGAATAGATAACACTGGATCGTAATTAACATGTGGGGTGTTTATGTAAATGAATGCTACCCAAGTACTTGAAAAGTCTTGTTTCCCTAAGTGTTCTACCAATAATCTTGTTTACACCATTAATCTGCTTTTCTACATACATTAAACAACCTGCAGCAATCCAGTGGAATTATCACAAATTCAAAATAAGTGGAGCTTGAGTTAGTGTAGCAAGTATTGGGATATACTCAGGTGGGAAAGTGTTGCTGGCTTTTTTTTTTTTTAACCAGGAGATGTTATTTGTAGGTCATTCCTGCTCTTAATTACAAACGTTATAAACAACTCTGCCAGGTAGACTGGATTCCCAGCCATAACAATAAACCCATGGTCTATACATTAATTTGATTTTAGTATCTTTAGGAGAGTGTTCTGTAAACCCATGGCTTTTGCAATGACTTCAGGGAAATAAGCCTTACTCAAAAATAATCATTTGGAAAGAGTAGAGATGGGCAATCAAAGGGATGAAAATAAAAATTAACACGCACTACAAACTGGCCTGTCTTCACCCAAGGGTACTTTTTGCACTTTGTGCTCTTCTTCCTATGCTTCTTTCTAGAAGTTTCCTATCTTTCACTCAGTGCCCTTTTGAAATTACACCTTCCTGCTAATAAGCTTTCTTTGCCTCTCTTTCCCCAGTATAAAGGCTAGCATTACCCACTCATTCATCCACCCACCTTTCCCATCTCCTTCCCTCCACTTATCAGCCTGCTGATCATGTAGGCATCACACACACACACACACCACACTCTCATTAATCCTGTGTCGTGCCAGTATGAATATCCAACATAAGCAGGTTTCCAATGCCAACCAATGAGCTGGTTCTCTCCATGTGTTTCCTTGAGAATGATACTGTTGATCCTTCATTGGGTGTGGATACAGAAGAAAGGGTTTGAAACCCGGATTCATCATTTTAACAACCCTAGGGTCTTGGACAAATGCTTCATTTGACTTCATTTTAATTTTTTTCCATCTAAAATGTACATACATACATTGACTATGCAAGGGTTTGTTCCTGTGCTAACTTAACTCTCTGAGTCCATCTTAAGTTACTTGAGAAGGATGTGACTTCACAGTTGGGAACCTTAAATCTTGTCCTGAAGCTTATGAATGGCAAGTGCATCAGAGTAGGCATTAACATCCTGATGTATGCGGGATTAACCCTGGGCACACCAGGTTCTTCACAGGCCTTTGACCCCAAATTCTGCCATCTAGACCAGTTACTTTCTCTGCAAGGTTCACCACTGATGGAAGGAGAGCAGGATGCTGAAATATGTCCACACACTTCCCAAAGCCTTTTCCTACACACTTCTGATGTTTCCCCTGCTCAACAATGGGCCAGGGGTGCAAGTGGCCTCTATTCTGAAGTGACTGACGATACAGACATACTAAGGAAGAAAGAAAGAAAAAAGAAAGGAAGGAAGGAAGCGTTAATTTTGTTTCAAAACACCTTTGAAAGGTGTCTATATGAATCGACCTCACTCAGACATCCCAGAGAATTCCCATTGAAGCTCAACACACACATCCCTCCATTTGCTTTGTAACTCAACATCACCTGTCTGTGCAAAGTAAGAAAACTGACTTCTTCCTTGTCTCTTCCCTCTCATCTCTCTCCCTCTGCCCTTCAGATTGGTGACTGAGACTATCCAAAATATAACTGCTCCAAAGAAAGGGTCGGTAATAGAGATAATCTACCAAGTTAACAAAATAATCAATTAGGGAAAAAAGTATCTTAAGCAATGAGATAAAGCCCAACTGTGTAGCCACCACCCCCCTGACCCCAATGACTGACATTCATTTGTGGACCATGCCAAGATATTTCTTTGAAATACATTATAGGGCAGGAGAGATGGTTCAGAGCATTTGTCGCTCCCACAGGTAACCAACCGGGTTTGGTGCCCATAACCACATGGCAGCTTACATACTTTAATCCCACTTCCAAACTGCACACATGTGCTACATAGACACACATGCAAACAAACAGTCACACACATACATACATACATGTTTGAACACTTTCCTCATCTCAAAGTCTGATACCTGAAAATGTCTAGAATCTAAACCTTTTTGACAACCAACATCATGTCACAAATAGAATACTCCATACCATGAAACTACATTTTATGCACAAAAAATAAGTAGTAAAATATTATACAAGACATATTGAAACATAAATCAATTCTTTCTTCAGTCTTGGACATTGCCCCCAATAAATCTTATTACCCACATGGAAATATTCCAAAATACATTTTTTAAATGTCTGAGACACTTCTGGGTCCCAAGCACTTTAGAAGAGGAAAAGTCAATGTCTAGTATGTTGCTAGTAAAGTCTAAAAACAAATCAAGATGGGGAAATGTTCAATGGTAGCAGCGTGCGACATGTATGAAACCCTGGGTTCTAAAGGCACCAGGAAACTGTTGGAACTAATTTAATAATCCAAAGGCAACATTATTTATGGGGGTGACACAGCTGGCCTTACCTGTTATACATGTAGACGTGCACACGGCTGGCCTGGAGTGCTGAGTCCAGGTGTTGTAGGAGGGCCTCTGTAGTTAGGACGTTAGCGCCTTCTTCTTTTGGAGTCTGTATCATGAGTTGAGGATTAAACATAGCCTCTTCTCCTATCTTCTGCCGGGTATAATTTAATTCTCGACTCACTCGTCCACCAACTGACAAACATGGATAGGTATTGGTCAGAACAGAACATACCTCAGAACTGTGTGTCTTGTTCCCTAAAGTCGGGTTCAGGAACAAAGGGCAAACTGGCATTGTTGGCTTTAGGAATTATAAGCCTAATAAAAGTAGTAGTCTCTAACCCCAGTGCCTGTCAAATACCCAAATCTGCTGGATGCATTCTGATTAGACACCATGAGTCTAAGGGGAAGAGGATGGGAAAACTAAATACACCTCCCACCCCCATTGCAGACCAGACCAAAACACCTTTAGTCTCTTTTGTTTGTATAAACAATATGCCTGCAGCACATTTCATGGTAAATACTGTAATTTACACTTCTCCTAAGTAGTCTAACAAAAGTAACAAGGACAAGTTTCTCCTTTGGAGAAAAAGCAACAAGGGAGGTGGTCAGTTAGTGCTGAGAACATAACCTGTGGGCAGATGAAGACTGTGATTCAAGTCAGAAAGGCAGGGAACTCACAGCTAGGGAAACAATGTATCAGTCATGGCTGTTTGTCACAGCCAGAGGAAACAATGTATCAGTCATGGCTGGTGCAAGTAGCCCCTGGAACCTGGCTCCATGAGGATTACCTGGTCAGCATCCAGAAAACACAGGCCTCAGGCTCTGAGTCACCTGGGGGAGTGCTACCTGTGATGCTGGACCTCCTACTGAGGTCAAGGAAATGTACTAGCCTGCTCTTCTACAAGTTTGACTAAAGCTAGGAAGGCTGGCAAGCGGGTCCAGTTGAGTGTTTTTTAACTTCTTTCCCTCTGGATCTCCTTTCTGTGTACTTATGTTCACTAAGTTTGGGAGCAAACCACGGTCAGAACACCACCTTTGTGCTGACAGGCATCTTGGGAAGAGAGATGTCAGAGGAGCCTGCCTTCCATGTGCACACAGGACAAGGCAAATAATGAAGCTGGTCTGAATAGTTCCCAAAGTCACTGATAAGCTCAGAGTTTCTGAAACACAGACCTCCCCTCTGGCCATAGCTTGGAAAGAACTCAGTGAGCGTCACTTTCCCACGAGGAGGAACCCTTTTTCTTCAAGTTTAGTATTCAAGGACATAAACATTTGGTTTGGGAAAGTAAGTAAGTACTGAGAACAGTGGGGTGTTTGGTTCTCTTGGCATATTTTATAAACAAGGGGGGCAGGCTAAAAAGCAAACAATGCCCTCATTAGGAAAACTAGTGCAGAGTCTTGAGCTGGCAGGACCCTATGTGTAGGTCCACGAAGCCGCCAAGGCCACCATGGAACTCAGAGGTGAAGCTAAAGTATTGTATAGCTGTTGGAGGAGGGTAGCAAAGGGTTCATAAAAGGTATTCGAAGTGTGCAGACAGCTTGACGAACGCCAAAGGGGAATGGCGGAGAGTTTTACCAATGTCATGTTATGGAAAAGCAGGACTAGGGGGGGTGTGGCTTGGAGCCTGCCTGGCATTCACACGGTCCTGAGTTCCAGCCTCAGCACTAGGGAAACTCAGAAACATCCCCTCCCATCCTACCCAGAGACAGCCTCTTGTTCACTGTGGCCAGAGTCAGAATACACACTTTCAGCCAACTAGCAAGTGAATTTGACATCTGCCAGCTTAGAAGCTCTGGGAAGCACTTCTGAAAAGCTGCAAGGCAACCCAACATCTGCTCAGCCTCTTGTCATGTTTGCCCCAAACCTGGGGACCTCCCCCACCCCCTCCCCCACCCCCTAACCAGTTCCCCCTGCCTCCTTGTAAGCAGATCCTGGTCAGCACACTGTGCTTCCTTTTGCTTTTAAAATTAAAACTCAGGTGACTTCAAACCTAGAGGTTAACAACAACAACTTTAAAGATAAAATAAAATCAAACAACAAAGCAGAGTCTCTCCCTCCCCCAGCACACAACTGCTTTTTACATCGAGGAACTTTCTGTGCAAACCAAGACACTTTGACCAGGCTTTTACCCCTGACCCCAGGGGCCTTAGCAGAGAAGTCTGTCTCCTATTTACAGCCCCCAAGATGAGTGCTCACCAAAAAAAAAGAAAAAGAAATCCACTGTACAGCACATGTCACACTGCTAAGGACATCGCTGTACGCTTTCAAACTAAACTCTCATCATAGTGGGGTTTCAGAAAAAAATTCTTGCTGGGTGGTGGCGGTCACATGCCCTTATTCCCAGCACTTGGAACGTAGAGGCAGGCAGATATCTGAGTTTGAGGCCAGCCTGATCTACAGAGTGAGTTCCAGGATAATGAGGGGTATACAGAGAAACCCTGCCTCAGGGAAATAAATAAATAATAAAAACAAGCAAACAAAAGAATATTCTCAAAATAGAAAAATGTAATTCATGGGTCCTGTTACCACCGTATGATGTGTGTCAAAATAAATGCTCTTTAAGAAACTGAACATCCATTCTATCATTATGGGTACACGTTTTTTGTTTTCTTTGCTCTAGTGGGTAAACATTCGTGATTATCTTTTTAAAAGATGTAACATTCCCAATCACTTGTATTTGTGTTGTGTGTGTTGGGAGGTATGAGCTATGCACTAAGATGAGGACATCAGATTCCCCTGGAGCTGGAGTTACAGGTGGTTTTGAGCTACCCTAAGTGGGTGCAGGGTACCTCTGCAAAAGCTGTACGCTGTCCTAACTGCTGAGCCCACTCTCCGATATGAACCTTACGTATGTGACAATCAGTAACAGCCACTGCAAGATCACAACCATCAGCGATAAAGTGGACCCAGCAAACAGCTGAAACTCTTCAGAGAATGCATGCCGAGTCCCACCTATGACTACTGATCTGTGTACTTGTGCCTCTAATGCAGCTACAGTTTAGGCCTAACATTTCACTTTATATTTAACTCAGTGTTTTTGCCAAATGACTAGCTAACTTCAGTACACCTAGCTGCTTTGTTTCATGTCACCCATAGGTGTTTAAACAACTCAACTCACCCAGCCAATATCGACCTACCTCTGGGTGCATAAGGTATATGGCATGTGGTATGCACTAAGAAGTAGGAATGCCTAGTGGGCAGGACCAGGCATTCCACTCTAAGGCTCTGCTCCAAGAGGGCTACAGGGCCAGCATCATGAACAGGCAATCCCAAGAAAACCAAGTGTCCTGAAGAAAAATAAGGTGGTGTGGGGGTGTAGGGGAGAGAGAGAGAGAGAGAGAGAGAGAGAGAGAGAGAGAGAGAGAGAGAGAGAGAGAGATCATGCTGACGCTTGATTTCTCCAGGGAGAGGGTGACTAGAACCTGGTGAGATCTGACTAGGTTATTCATTTGCTTGCTCCAGGAGATCTAGCTCCTGAAATGCAGCCAGCACCACCATGTCCAGCACCCACCCTGTCTTACAGTGGCACTCACCCTCGGCACTGTGAGCAAGGTACGAAACGGAAGCCTCTTGGGATGGAGCAATTTTACAGACTCACCGGCCTTGCTAGCTGTCTTGGCAAACGCCTATGGTGAATTACAGTGAAAGGACAGCCTGACTTTGCTGCCTGCCATTCTGATGCTCTGAAGTACCACAGAACCCACTTCAGATGATTACAGCCTTGCAGACAAGAGCTGGTCTCCTACCCTCTGACTTAAAAAGATCTGAAGGGTTCAAGGGCTTGGGGTGTGTGTGTAGACCCCATTTACTACTACCTACACTAAGTATCAAAGTTCTGCAATCTAAAAATAATTTGCTTGGTGTTTAGGATGTAGTTTGGGGATAGACGTTTTGACAGACACGTAGGAGACCCTAGTTCAATTCCAAGAATGAACGACTGAACAAATGAATTTAATTTTAAATGGCATCTCTTTTCTTCTTGGCTACTTGAGACTGCCTAAGAAACTTATTTCTATTAAAATCCTTGTCTCTTTCCCACCTCCAAAGTCTCTCTTGCCTAGTTTAAAAAAAAAAAAAAAAAATCTAATGCTTACAAAATAACGTAGAGGAAGGTACCTATGCAACAAAATGATCCACATAACTCAGCATTCCTCAATTAGCTATAGGACCAGTGAACCATAGTAGCAGCCATTGATTACTGAGTAATGGTCTCTGGATATTTACCTGATTTCTTTGAGAAGTTTACTCATTTTTAGTTTTTTGAAATGCAGACTTCCTTGTAACAAGACCAAAAAAGAAAGAAAGAAAAAAAGAAAGAAAGAAAGAAAGAAAGAAAGAAAGAAAGGGAAGTAGAGAGCAAAGAAGAAGCGACAAGTGAGAAGACAAGACGTCCCAGACGTATGGATTAAAAACAAACTTCAGGCTGGGCGTTGGTGGCTCACGCCTTTAGTCCCAGCACTTGGGATGCAGAGGCAGGCGGATCTCTGCGTGTTCCAGGAGTGCCAGGAGAGGCTCCAAAGCTACAGAGAGACACCCTGTCTCCAAAAAAAAAAAAAAAAAAAAAACCCCAAAAACAAACAAACAAACAAAACATAAAATCAAACTTAAGGGCTGGAAGGCGGCTCAGCAGTTAAGAGCACCTCCTGCTCTTCTAGAGGACCTGAGTTCAGTTCTCAGCACCCACATCGGCTGATTCACAACTGCCTGCAACTCCAGTTCCAGGGGATCTAATGCCTCTGGCCTTCTTGGGTATGGCATCTGCATACCCACATGCAGGCCACAGCCACAGACATATAATTAAAGATAATAAAGAAAGAAAAAATAATGTCAGTTCAATGGCTGGGGGAGGCGCTCAGGCAACAGAGTGCTTCCCCAGCAAGAAATCCCAGGTCCAGTCACCAAGCATGGAAAGAATATACACATGGTGGAGCAGTCCTGTGACCCCAGCCCTCAAGGTTCAGAGGCAGGAGAATCAGAAGCTCAAAGCCATCCTTAGCTACTTAGTGGCTTCAAGGAAGGAGCAGCCTAGGTTGTGTGAGACCCTATCTAGTTAACAATGAAAAGGGCTTAATGCATATTCCCTACTGCATCTTTTAATCCTCCTCATCACTAAATGTATTACCTCTAGCAATAAAGTAAACCCTGGCCCTCTCTGAACAACACTCAGGACCCCGAGGCCCAAGGCAATCTC